ACGAATTTAACCCTCCCACTCCAAATGGCGCCTATGGATTAAACGGTTCTATATCATCGAAAAATGCGAACATCACATATTTACCGTCGTCATTTGCGATCGTTTTCGTTGGTATAATATTATACACGCATAATCCTACATTATAATCTTATTTTTGATTTAGTGATAAAATGTCCATTTTTGATTTAAAAATTGTTCCGACCTTCGTCGTTTAATCGTGTGACACGATACATTAATAATAGTTATTATATACGTACTACACTGCAGTTATCCACGTGCGTGGATATGTACAAAGAAATAAACAGTTTTGGCGCACGAACTGCTATCGTATAGCTCGTGATTTTTATTGTATTTTATCACAAATCAATTTTTTTGTCATGAATCAAAACTTTAATATTCTGATACCATTTTTCTTTTGTATAATTTATTATTATTATTATTATTATTATTATTCAGTTTAAAAAAATTAATATTAGCTATGAAATTCCAATACAAAAATATTCAACCCACTCAGTGAATATTTTTTCTTACTTTACACATAAATGATAAAAATTTAATTTTAAAATGTTTTATTAACTTTATATGGTGGACATTTTCAAGTAATCTGATATTGTAAAATATCGCGAATGAAATAAAGCAAGGGTGTTGACTAATGAAATGCATAATTTACCTTGCACAAGAAATTTGATACAATATAAAAAACGGTCAGCTACTAATTTCAAAATGAAAACTTCTCAATTAGTGACGTTGTAAATTCAAATACGTAATTTATTTCCATCTCGATGTTTAATAGTGTATTTAAAATATTTAAATTTGCATTTTGATCGTGTTCAAATACTTTCGATTACAGCATAATATATATTTCTAGATAATAATTTAAAATTTAAGGATGCTATAATAATGTCGTAATGATTTTGAACATAAAATAAGTTTATGGCAACTTTTTTTTTCTAAAATGAAAATTGTAATACGGCTCGAAAGGGCTTCCGACCACTATAAAGTCTAATAATTTTGATAAATCGAATTTTAAAAACGCTGTCTAACGTAGGTACATGAAAAATGCATTTGATCGATTTTCGTCTAATGCATTTATCACGCGAACGTGTCAATGCGCATAGAGTAGTATACATAGAGTAGTATACATAAGGAGATGATAAAATGAACATAGATAAACATATACTTATTATAAGCTCTATTACATTAAATACGTATAGATATCAATCGATACAATGTTAACATTTTGCAATTAAAAAACTTAGCAATAACAAAAATTATTAGCGAAAGAACGATAAGGGTGAGAGGAAAAAGCAGGTGAAGCTAATCAATGCCATAACTGTTGTGCGGCAGCTACGGTGGCAGCGACGGCGGTGTGTTGCTCGGCAACAGACGTTTCGCCGGTCCCAACAGTTTTAGTTATAATATAACCCAGGTAAAACGCCCTTTCTCACTCTCACTCTCTCTCTCTCTCTCTCTCTCTCTCTCTCTCATTCTCGCACACACACATGCACTCACATAACCAAGCACACACGTGAATATATTTACACATCTATTTTGCTTTTGTTCCCTTGCGGCATTTGCACGGGGGGCCCAGACCGATATTATACGTACACACATATAAAATATACGCACGTGTGCGAATAAGTACAACACAAATACATAATATGCATATTATACATACATATCGACAAGGGTCTATGGTCACGTTGTCATTCCGTGGTATCCTTTCGAGCTTACACACACACACACATATCACACACTCGGCCGACTCATCCACACACAACACACTATTGCATGCCCATAAACACACCATAAACTCTCGTACGCGCACACATATAAGCTTTTGACAAATTGCTATGCGTGTATTGTCGGCCGAATAATTGACACGTACCGGACGATTAACATATTTAAAATACTACAGCAAACGCATGCGTGCGCACATCGTCGCCACCCCCACACTAGCACTCGTTAGTCTAAAACCGGGGTTTAGACGGATTTATATCTCTTGTTCAAACTTTGTGACAGGTTGAAAGCTTTGTTCTTGATTAAGTTCGGTAATCCGAACTGGAGCACGCTATACCTCCCTTTCCACGCTCGACGTATAAAAATATATATAGAATAAGTGATAAAATATAATTTTTTCATCTCCCACCGGTCTTTTCGTTTTTTGCCTATTAAAAAAAAAAAAAAAGATTTTGTTTTCTCTGTCTATAAGCTGCATCGTAGCATCACGACACCTATTATTGTGTACTCTCGAGTACTCCTTTGCGATGTCTTATCAACTTCCACGAATCAAATTAAAGTCCCACTTTCTTTATCACGCCACTCCGATATGTACTCCCATCAAAATGTATATCTCATCCGTCATGCATACATTATACAGTGCCATCGCATCAATATCGCAACAGTTTATAATACTGTAAAATTTTATAATTACTATGCGAAGGGATTGAAATACATGTTGGAAGCGAAAGATGAAAAAAAACTGAGAAAAAAATAATATTAAACGTCGCTGAGAAAAATTAATTCGGATCATCGTTTTCTGTAACACTATATAGACTTCCGTTATCGTTAGTGAAAATGAATTGCCCCGACTTTGGCGAGAAAGACGCGACTGACTGAACGGGCAGAGTTCGCGGGACAAGTTATTTGCATCTGTTGCACCAAGCCGTGTAATTAAAACGTCTACTTAATGGAATGGAAACAATTATTAAGTAACGTTTTAAATATTTAACCGAATCCACGTCAACGGCAGTGTGAAATTGGACATAGGCATTATCAGGTCATGTCAATGAACGTGCGTCATGATACATTGATACGGTTCACAAATCAAAACGATAATATTGTGTTTACCATCTATATTATATTATATTATATCGTTGTTAAATCATCGTAAAGGCGAAATTCATTCATTTTTTCGAATTCAGGCCGTCATAATAATAATGAATGCTTATCATTATGTACCTATAACTACGAATAACGAAATTCATATGAGATTCATATTTTACAAGAAGCACAGTAGTTACAAAATACTATGTTGCATGATCAAATTATATCATACATAACTACACCATAATGGAATTCACAGATATATTATACATAATGCGTTTGTACATTTAATGTTTGTGACAATTTCGAGACGTGAGACTCTTCACAAAAACTTATTTAGTTTTAAAGACTATCAGGAAAAAATAACTATGTGAATTATTTTAAATAACATTTTACATTATAATTTCTTATTATCCATTGCAACTTCAACGTTGCATTTGTTGATAGCCAAAAACATTCCATAAACTTAACTGCAGTAAATTATATTTTCATTCATTTCTTACTAGTAATCATCAGACAGCTTTTACAATAATATATAACATAAACATGATATTATTTAAAAAAAATCAGTAAAACTTTTTCACCTTTTAAGTTTTAAAAAAATAATTGTTTTGACTACAAGACGCCTGGAATAATAATAAATTACCTATTACTTATTGTATTTTTGTTAATGAAAAAACCAAAACCAGATTTTTTTCAATAAATGTTTTATAGGACCTTCATTTCAATATCACAAAATCTTAGCTCATAAGTAATCATAATCAGACTGCAAGACTGAGATAATCCGAATAAATTATTATTTCTTTGTTGCACTACACTTTACGATGAGGTATTCGTAGTGGTTTTTTGATTTTGGAAACATTTGAAATTTTGTAACGATGTCGTCGTTATTCAATGGTCCGTGGAGTAATCTCAAATTGCGCACGCATTCAGCCGAAACAAATGATTTGTTCTTATTGTGTATAGAGTATATATGTGTGTGTGTGTGTGTGTGTGTGTGTGTGTGTGTGTGTGTGTGTGT